ACTACTACTACTACTACTATACTCTACTATACTCTACTCTACTATACTCTAATAAACTATACTATACTATACTATACTATACTATGCTATACTATACTATACTATACTATCTTATACTATGCTATACTATACTATACTATACTATACTATACTATACTAGACTATACTAGACTATACTACTACTACTACTACTACTACTACTACTACTACTACTACTATACTCCCCCTACTGTTGTGGTACTGCTTTGGTACTGCTTCGCAGTCTTTGATGGACTCGCAGGAGATCGAGGACTTTCGAGTTAGGACACCCAGCTGAAATGCTCAGGGACAAAGACATTTCTCCAATCGCATCGGCACTTTGGGCTCGTTTGCAAAGCAAAGGCCCAAATAAAGGCCATGTGGTCCACGCCCTTTCCTTCTGCCGCAAGGCTAGCCTTTCGCTAGAAACTTGCTGACTTGCAGCTACGAGCCCCCTATGCTTGCGCTTTTGTGGGGGGGTTTAGGATTCAGATCTTCGGATCTCGGTATGCAGGCTTTTGCTGAAATTTCGTGCGCATCTCGCAAGAGTGGCATGAGAACTACTGCTGTGACGCTTACCGGCGTGGTCTTTTTCTAAGCTGGTTTGGTGAAGAAGCTGCTGAAACTTTAAGACCAAGTAGCTGATACGCCCATAGGGGAAGGAAAGGGCCGCTGATGCCTTTTTTATGCCTATGGTAGGGCCGGGGGGGAAAGGGGGGCATGGGTTGCGGGTCCCACCTTTCCTCACAAGGCATAAGCCAGGTGTCGGTGAAACGCCTCGCCTCAGACCACGTCCCAGTCACGGGTGAATCCCTGTCTAAACTGCTTTAACTTAAGGGTTTAGGGTTTAGGGCTTACCCCAAGGAGGATTACGGTGCCATCGAACAAAGCCTCCAGCGTTTCATCCGGCTGCTGGCTTACAGATGTGAAAGCCAGAAAACTCAATCCTCTTGAACCCAAACTTGGAACCAAGCGCTGCTGCGCCAAGAAGGCCCAAGAATATGTGAAGGAATTTGGGTTGCCTCGACTGCGTTCCAACGTTGTTGGGTGACTTTACGGCTGGTAGGGTTCCAGCATGTCGCCTTCTGTCACCGGTTATTATAAGTTTTATAACCCAGTGTTGCAAAGACGTCACGCGGCGAGTTGATCGTCTTGAAACTGTCGTGTCGGAAATCTCACAACAGCTGCACCCCAACCACTCACAAAAACAAAAATCCAACCACCGCTGATAGGCCTCTCGCACGTACAACAGTTCTTCACTTCCTCTGTGCCTTACCCATCAGACCCATAACGCTGATGTGTTGATATTAAACTAACTCCTCGCATTTATGTTAAAACCGAAACGAAGATAAGTCCGACGGTTTTCTCGTGCTAAATGCCCAGTTCTGGGGCGATCTGGAACATGCTGCTGCAGAGCTCTTGGCAATGAATCAGTGCCAAAACAGCAACATGGCTAAGAGCCACGGAAGCTTGCGAAAGAGTCGGTCTCTGTGCTGTGGAGTTCGGCACACTTCCGCGTCGGCGAATTTCGGATGCAAGCTGTGCAAAGCTGTAGGTGCACGGTTTCCAATACATCCCATCATGTCGTTGCAATCCACATGCATGGTGTGTATATATATATATATATATGCATATAAAGTATACACACCGAAAAGTGTGTATGTGTGAGTTGCTACTGGATATATGAAATCGGACTGACGACTGCCTCCTGCTGAACAGAAATATTGACACTGTTGAAACCCATTGATCTTGTCAGCGGGGCATCTGGAACCCTAAACCCTTAACCAATATATCCATACGTAAAACCATTAAACTCACAACCCCTTCCTAAGCCTGAATAGCTCTACCCATAGGCCCCATAGTAGTTCCTGTTTGGGGTTCCCTAATAGGATCCCAAGTATAAGCCATAAAAAGGAACCCTATGGGTAAACCCTATAAAATGCCGAAGCCTTTAACCCTAAACCCTAAACCCTAGAAAATGCCGAAGCCTTAAACCGAACTGACATCTTCCAGCGTTGCGCCCAGGGCAGCAGACTCGACCTTGGTCGCTGCCGGGGGAGCCGCTTTGTAGTGAAGATGTTTAGGGTATAGGGTTTAGGAGTCTAGGCGAATATAGGGGACTTATGCACGGAAGAAAGTTTCGGGTATAATCTAGCATGAACAATATTACTAACATATGTCTTGGGATAGATTATTGGTTTATCTGTTTAGCTATAATACGGAACCCAAAAAACAATGTTGGCAAGTCTTCCGACCCCTGTATTTCATTCATTTGTGCAGGTCCTCTTCGACGGGTGACAGAAATGCTGCCATTAGGTTTAGGGTTTAGGGTTTGGGTTTCGGGTTAGAAACCCTAAATCCTACACCCTAAACCCCTAAACCCTAAACCCTGCCAGGAACCTTCGCTTTAGGTCTTTGCAAAAGCTCCAGCAGCTTCTGGCGAGCTTCAAGCAGCATGTCGGCCAAATGAACCCAACAGCTCCGATGGTCCCGTAAACCCTAAACAGAAGGGTTTAGGGTTTATAGGGTTTAAGGTTTAGAGTTTAGGGTTTAGAGTCAACTACAGACTTCTGCAGTCTGCTGAATTGGGGGTTTTGGATTCACAGCTTTATGTGTCAATTCTCCAGCATTTAAGACGTAGGAGAAGTAACGCCTTCTCCTGCGGCCCTGTAGGGTGAAGTACTTAGGTCGGCGGGGCTGTATAATCTAAGCAGTATGTATTCCATAACACTAACACCACAAACAAAACCTATCGGAAGTATCCCACAGCCACTAAGGACACCAACACCTCAAGGAAACTACAAAGGAGGGAAGACCTTGCACACGACTCACAAAAGCATGACAGGCAGCCGCTAGCAGGGCCACTAAGGAGCAGACTTTGCTGTTGGTCAGGTCGGCTCTGCAAAGGGGACAGGTGTGATTCACCTGGCGAGACCATGTTGGTCAATCTGGGTGTTTCCCCTAAACCCCAAAACCCAAAACCCAAAACCCTAAACCCTAAACCCTAAGGGGGTACCATCTTTTGGGCTTCTTATATTAAGGATCCTTAGGGTCCCCTATTTTCTGAACCCCCATCCAGGGTTTATCGTAGAAGCCCCA